ATTACTTAATCTCTCTTACTGTCTCCATTTTTGCCAAGGAGGAAAATTAGATGAATGGCACCTTCCTAAATACTCATTTTGAGGATTGTTTAATATAACGCTTAGAAATACCAAACGTTGTGTCTGACAAACATGGTATCAATACCCATTAGTATTTACCAACATTTCCACAACTTTCACCCTCCCCTATTCCCAGGGGCCCACCAGATCTTGTGTTGCTTTATTTGGTGTATTTATGTGCACATTTTTCATGTTATGTTTCCAGAACTTGGAGTTGTGGCTTTCAGGCAAAGCATCAGGTTCCTGGCACGTGACAAGAGTCAAGGAGGAGAGGGAGGGCCCGAGCAGCAGCACATCACGGGCTTCTCAGTCACGTTAGTGCCCACGCTCTGGAAGAAGTGCAGTTTTTGAGTGCTTTTCTTGGTGTCTTGTTTTCAGGGACAGCCCAGCGTTCAGGCAGCAACTAAATGTCTAGGTAAGGCAGCTGCTCTCCCCTAGGAGTGGTTTTGGACCCCACCAGGAGATAGGTAGCAATTTCTAGCGACATTTTTCATTGTCATAACTGCAAGGCTGTTACTACATCTAGTAGAAGCTGGGATTGCGGCTAACTGTGCTGTAGTGCGTGGACCATCCCCCACTGCCAAGAACTATCTGGCCGAAAATGTCAACAGGGCTAATGTCGGAAAACCGAAGCAAATGCTGCAGAAAGTGTGCGATGGCCTCTCTGAGCTGGCTGAGGGCCTGAGGGCAAGCAACTGAAAGTGTGGCCAAGAATATTCTCCTTTCCTGGATTCCCAAGTTATTTTTCTCCACCTCTGGCCAGCTTAATCGCCTCCCATATCGCCCCAGGACAGAGCAGCTTTGAATTTTCTTATCCTTATCCTGCAATCCAAGGGGCTGCCTAATCCGGAGCTGTGTGCTTTGGCAGATATGGGAGAGAGATAATTCTGGTTCCTACCCTTAGGAAGCTTCTTTCTGATAGCTGTGCATTAACAAGGGTCACTCTGTTTGTCACTGATAGGGTTAGCAAACAAATATACACCCAAGCGCCCCATGAGTTTAGCTGCATAAAGAAGCTGTACAAGTGAAATAGAACTGGGAAACGAATGGATTCAAATATGAACACTTGGAGTTGCGTCCAGCTGTCTAACCGTTAGTGTGAATCCCCGGATTTAGAGGGCATGGGTTGTGTGCTTGTGTATATGTATAAGTGTACATATGCACTGTTACTATTTCTGCTTCTTCTATCTTTGTGTGTGTTTCTGTTTCTGTCTATGGATATTTCTGTCTCTCTTTGTCTCTGTCTGCCTGTTGGTCTCTGTTTCTTTCTTTCTTTCTGTCTCTCCATTCTTCTCTTGACCATTGTCCTCATATTGCTGTCTTTCTTCTTGTGTCTTTGTTATGTTGTCAGTTTTTTGTCTCTGTGTATCCACATCATTATTTTAGACTTAGTCTTCCTATTAGGCTGGGAGCATTTCTCCTGGTGACCAGAGAAGAAAGATAATTCTTTCCTCGGGGCTCCAGTTGGAAGAATCCTGAGAAAGTCTTCTAAATAGTCCTGGAAGGTCCTGGAAGGTCACTATGGCTAGGATATATCCTGACCATGCCAGTTCAGAGGACATCCTCAGGGTTCACAGGGATGGGACACCATTATTGATCAGCCTGCCTAGCCCAAAACACATGGCTAGAGTCAGGAAGAACAGACCCACACAGGATACATAAGGAAATACTAAGGAGAGCAAAACGACAGTTGTCCGTGAGACAAGACTAACTCAAGAGAAAGAAAAGTCTTAATCAAAATGTGGAAGCAGGATTCTGAGTTCTCTAGAACTGTGAAGCAGTTAGTTCACTCTGAGGTCCAGTGACCAGGAAGACTCAGTTCTTGGATTCAGCTTTGAAGATGTGTTAGAACTTAGGTAGATGGAAGGGCGTGCACATACCTAGATAAGAGAATGGCTTCTCTGGCTGTTTTACTGGTTTGCCTTGTTCTCAGCTCCTAAGAACCAAGGACTTTCTTCCGTTGTTAATAGAGCATAGGATTTGATGACCACAATCGGGCTCAGTCATTATACCTCCAATTGTGTCTGTGCTGCGGTGCTGGTGACGGTGCAGAGGGGAAGCAAGAACACCTGAGAAGCAGCTAATCCAGAGAGTATCATCTTGTTCATAAAACCAGAGGCTGCTGCGCAACGGAGGTGTCAGTGCAGTCTCTCTATTGCCCGTGATGCTCTGTGTCTGACATCAAGTGAGTTTGACACTGAAATGTGACCTCACCACAGGTAGATTGGGTTGCTTACTACATTAATAAACACATAGGCAGCACACAGTATGTACTAGAAATGTAAGTGCCATTGGTTCAAAAATAAGTAAGGTAAGGTCCTACTTCCTTAACATTTATATCTAAGTGGGAAAGACCCAGAAATGTATTGGCAGTTACATAAGGAGTGTGATCAATCCATGCAAAGCGGTAATTTTCAAATGTGGCCTCATAGCTGGGAGCTTAAAAACCACTGATGCCACAGTCCCATCCTGTTAGATGGTGGCTCCATTGGCCTAGGGAGGGGTCTGGGCATCTGTATAGTTCATAGTTCAAGAGAGTAAAGCGCTATCTTGCAGGACCATTTAGGCAAGGATGCTGTTAGCAGATAAAGACTCGAGTGAGAGCAGGGAAGGAAGGGCTGATGCAGAAGTGAGGCTAGCGGCCATGTACGGAGGGGTGAGAGTGGGGTGGAGGAAAATGGGGCAGAGAGACAGCTGCTCGAGGCTGGGAAGTCAGGCTATCCTTCCACTTCTGGCCAAGATTCTGTATGACCTTGGACACACATAACCCTCTTCATTCCTCAGTTTCTCCCTCAGCCAGACGTGATGAATGCTACCTGCCCTGTTTTCCTTAGGGTTTTGCTGCTAGGATCAAATGAGGTTAAAAGAAAAATAACAGTATACCAGGGACCATTGGGGGATATAAACCAAAACTCGTTTATTCAGCTTCTTTCTTAGATAGCTGAAGTTTCAGCTTTCAAGACAGTCATTTTAACTGAGAAATATAATTTTATTTTCTCGAAAATGTATCACCCGCAAGCCCAGTTTCTTAAACCGAGAGCTCTGGATCGCCCTGAACCCCGTTTTCCTTTTCCTGTGTCATTAGCCCCTCAGCACAGATGGCAGACCCTCAACTACGCTGTGATGCAGTAACTTCCCTGGAGCCTTTGAGAAGTGTAGGGATTCATGGTGTGGAAGATTGGGTTTTCAATTCTTTGGTCTGTTTGTGATCCGTTTTCTGTTTCTCTTGCTATTTAGATATGAACTGTAGATTCTCAACATTAACCTACTTTTTTACCCTAACTTGCTGTTTCTTACCTAGAAAAGGCTGGAAAACCAGGAAACCAATCTGAAAATGGTATTTAAAGGAGACTATGAGTGAGAACTCCCCAGAGAGAAGGGACTGCGTGTGTGCCTGTCTGTGCACACGTGTTTAATGTGTGTTAGCACTTTCAGCTGACTGAGTCTACTGACCTGGATACCTAAGGCAGAAGGCTGTGTGGACTGCACCCGTGGGGACTCAGAGGGCTGTAAGGATGATTTGTAGGGTTCTTAGCCTTCCTTCTTCTGACCATTGGCCAGAGACTCTCCACCCAACTACCAGGAGAAGTTTGTCTTTGTCAAATCAGGTTTTGAATGTTTGCTACCAAAAAATGTTGTTTGCGTATACATACATATTTTTCCTTCCTTCTGTCTTTCTTTTCTCCTTTCCCTCACCCCAATTATTCCTTCCTCTGAGCAGTTTCTTTCCCTTTCGTAATGTCTATTGCACATTTTGGGTTTATCGACTCTTTCAGTTTCCTACAGTAGGGCGACAATAAAATGTTTACACATGTTGGTCCGATTTATTTTATGTATGATTATGGTCTTTAGTTGCATCCATTTACCTATAAAAGCCTCTAGTTTATATTTTTATAGCTGAGTAGTACTCCATTGTATAAAAATACCACATCTTTTTTATCCATTCCTCCATTAATGGGCATTTGGGTTATTTCCAAGATTTAACTATGACAAGGATAGCTGGGATAATTGTACTGCTGATGTCTATTGGTTTATTGAACGGAAGAGTTAATGCTTGAACTTTTTTTTCTTGACGAATTTTGCATGCTTATATCTGGTAATGTGAATAACTAACTTGAAGACAACAATATGCAATATAAGAACCACTGGTGAATTCCTACCATCTTGTTTAGTGAAGCTCTATATCATTTCTAATTTTTTATTATTAGTTTTTGGTTTCTCTAATGGTTTGACCAATCTTGCATTCTTATCTCTGGTAATCTGAGTAACTTTGTTGAAGATAACAAATGTAATATAACAACCATTGTTAACTCCTATCATCTTCTTTTGAAATCCTGTATTGTTTTTATTTTTATGTTGTTCTATTTTTGTCTTTGTTATTGTTATTTTGTTTTTTTTTTTCTCTTTAAAATAAGAAAACATTTTGCACAACCAAAAAAAATGTAGTTTGCAAGGCAGGAGGAAAGCAAGGCAGATTGGATTAAATCAGGAGGGCAAACACTGAAGCAGACAGAGCGGGTAGGTTCTAGAACTCCCCATGAGCGGGCAGAGTGAGGAAGCGGTAGAAGTAATCAGTACTGTGCGGACCGCAGAGACAGAGAGAAGACCAGGGAGAAGAGAGTTCTGAGAGGTACAAGGTTGTGAAGAAGGGGCAAAAACAGGGGCCTAGATCAGCACTACTGCGGGGTCTGTGTTGATTTCTTAGTCAGAGTTACTGACTCACTGACACCATTCCAGGACTTTCGCATTGTGACCTCTGCAGGTGGCAGTTGCTAGGGCTAGCTATACTGCTGGCGCACACAGTGGCTTTCTTCTGCTGGTCCCCACGGTGCAGGCAGTCCTCTTTGAGAGAGGATGTGCAAGAATAGCCCGAGTGCTTCCCACATTGCTGCTTGCCACCCCTGTCTTTACTGAGCCTCTGTCTCTCCTTCCTCCCCCAGGTCGGTGGCTGGACTGGACAAGGAGGCAGACCTGGTGCACATGGAGGTGCGCACCGCGGATGGATGTGAGTGCTGGGAGATCTCCCTGCGGGTCTCTCTCCTCCCCAGATTTGCATTTTAATGGTTTGGGAAGATGAAAAACCCTGAGCTCCATTACAGCCATATCCATCCTTATTTCCCAGAGTGGGGGAAGAGACTTCCTGTCCCAGGAGAGACATTTCATTGAAATAAACCCTCAGGAATGAATTTTCTGGGGATGTGAGTTAACGTGATGAATTTTGAGGCTCCTGTAGTAATTTCCTTGGCATCTTCAGTGTAATTTGAATAGGGATATCCATAGTTCATTGCGGTATTTTGCATACACACAGTGAATTGTAGTGGATGCTTGCTTTAAAAGATGAACCCTTTACATGGTCAAGCTTACCAGAAGAAGTAACTCACAATTATTTGTAAAAGTGTTTATTCATGCAGGAGATGTTTAGGGATGGCCTACTGTGTGCCAGACATTGTTCTAGTCCTTAGACATACAGCCACGAGGAAGACTTTTGTTGTCCACTGTCCTGGAAAACAAGGAGCTCTGAGCACGGGAAGGGGTGTAGCTCACTGGGGGTAGAACATGTGCTGACAGCTGCAAGGTTCTAGTTTTAATCCCAGCATGGCAAGAAAAAGGCTGTGATCCAATGGTGGAACCCTAAGATTTCAAACATATGACCTTATGACCTCCTTTGCAAAACCTTGTGTGTCTGTTTACAGCGCACACAAATATTTGACTGAAAACATATCATTTTGCACCAGTGTAAACATTCAGCTCTTGATCCTATTTGCAGGCTCTTTGTCATAAAAGGACAATCAATGTAAACCACGTTTGAAAGTGTAATTAGCATTTCCCAGACTGGACATAGAGGATAAGAGGAGTGGCCTAGAAGTCCAGCATCACAAGGCCCTGCCTGTGAGTGAGGGGGGAGGTCCTGAGCTCTGCCACCCTCTGGCAAGTAGACCAGGAGCAGCGCTGTAATCTCTAACTTCCTCTGTGATCTGAACATGCTGTCCTCCCCCTGATCACCTCACAAGGTTCTGTGCTGACTGTACAAGTGACCTGCTACAGAAATGATGAAATGGATGAACCTTATAAGGAGATTCTGTTTTGACCCGGCTCTTGGAGTTGCTATGTCATTCAGAATACATTATGTAAAACTTCACATGTTTTCTGCGAGAGAAATCTGTTTGAGGCTAACCACAAATGCACGCCAGAAGCACACATTTTGAGAACTATGTTTTATTCACTTTAGTTTTAAAAGAGTTAGAAGGCAGTCAGCATTTGTTACTATATGTCTAGAATTCCACTTGTCTCCCTCTCTCCTGTCCTCCCTCTCCTTCCTTCTTTTCTTCCTCCCTCCCTCCCTCCTTCCCTGCCTTCCTTCCTTCTTTCCTTCCTTCCTTCCTTCCTTCCTTCCTTCCTTCCTTCCTTCCTTCCTTCCTTTTCTTTCACTCTTTCTCTCATTTATCCCTTGACTAAGTTTAATATCTCAGGCAGGCAGTTGTGACATACTCTTTTCAAATTTATTTTTTGAGGGAACAGCATTTGGGACTGAAGGAGAGAATGTCACATATCTAAAGTCACTGGTCATGAAGATGCTAAACTGTAGGGTGTCACTTTTGGTTGCAGAGAAGGAGCTAGGAGGATGAGGGCACTGTCCAGGTTTGGAGGAACTGAGCTGTCCTGCTCAGAACTGACCCTAGAAAATGACTCGTAGCCACCCTGAGTTGGCTTCATTTTCCACTTAAGGTTTTAAAGCCATACATGTGACATGTGGTGGTCATAACAGTCAAGAGTTCAGAAACTTCACAGAATGGTCTGACATCCTGTGTGGCGTAGGGATGCCTTCTCTAAACCTCTCCAGTTCCAGGAGGCTTAAAATATACCCTTGCATACTGTGGGCAGCCAATTCGCTTGTTTATTTGTTATTTGTTAAAACAATTTCTTACATTATATTTAAATTTATTTTCTGAAAGTTCAAATTCTTGTCAAAATTGGCATAAGGCCTATGATGTAGGACAGCAGTGAAATTTTATGAGATTAAAAATGCAAAACACATAAAATATTTCCTGGTCTATTTTCAGAATTCAAGAACTGAAAAACAACCAAGGAGAAATATAACAGGAATAAATATCATGTGCTCTACTTAGGTTATGGGATAGTGTATATTAGTTCTGTTATGTTCTCTAGGTTTTTGAAATCTGTTTTTCTGTATTTAGAATTTCCCCTTAACCTACTCACTTGGTTGTAACCCAGCTTTATTTGGAAAGTACATACAGAGAAATTGCATTATTGGAGGGGTATCTTAGTTTACAAACCCCACTCAAATGCATAATGTCCCTTCCTTTAATATACATAGCAAACACCCCCCATACCCGGGCTCCCAGACTGGCATAACATCCTTACCCTTTGATGGGCATAGAAAGGTGCATTGTATAGTGTATTCATCTCTTTTATCTGACCTGATAGCTTAAATTCAAATTTGCCTAAATTCACACAGCTTCTTAGTGATAGGGAATCAATAGGGCGAAAGCTTCTTAATAAACTAGGAGTTAAAGGGAACTTCTCCTGATCAAGGACATCTACAAAGGTGTATGATAAACATCGTAATTCATGATGGGGTACTGGGAGCAGGATGGGGACAGAGACACCCATCCTTACCTCTCCTGTCCTCATCATACTCAAAGTCCTAGACACTGCAATAAAGCAAGAAAAATGAAATAGAACTTATATAGATTGGCAAAGAAAAATAAAATGTGTTTTCATCGGCATGATCATCCATGGAGAAAATCTATGGAGTCCACACACACACACACACACACACACACACACACGCACACAACTCCCAGAACAAATAGAATAGGTGAGCACTGTGGCACTATATATAACAAAGTCAACAGAGAGAGGATGTCATTTTCAACAAATGATGGAGTTGGATCAATTGGGGATAAATTAATGTCAAACTATGACTCAGAGCTTATTCAAATTTAACTCAAAATAGAGCATAGATCTAAATGTAACACAAAAAATGTTGAAAATTTTAGAAGAAAATATAAGAGAAAATATTTATGGGTTTAGATTGACAAAAAGGTCATGATAGGTTTGTCACCAAGAATAAAATAGATAAAATAAAAAATGGAGACATTGTGCTTCATCAAAAATTTAAAAATACCATTTGCTCTTAAATATTACCCATTAAAACACTCCAAGAAAATATTTCAAATGGTACACCCATCAAAGAACTGGTAGCCAGGACATATAAAAAACTCTCAAAATACAGCGATAACAGGCTTTTCTTAGAAATGGGGAAAAGTTTGAACAGATCATTTGGCAAAGAATATATAGGATGATAGATAACAGCATGAAACATTGCTCAACACAATTATGCATGAGGGAAACATAAATTAAAACCATGTGATGATCACTACATGCCAATCAGAATCACTGAAATAAACAAAACTGACAGTACCAAGAGCTGACAAGGATGTGAAGCAAATGAAACTCTCCTGCATTGTTGATAGGAACATAAAATGGTAAAAAATGAAAAATGGGAAAAAATTTTGGTAATTTCTCATAACTTTACTCACACTGTGTGCTTTGTCAGTCC